TTAGGAGGATTAAATGTCACATGTGGAGGATCTAAAAGTGGATTTGTTTTTTATTATTGAAGATATTTTCATGGATTATTTGTATGGGGATCAGGCTCCTTTGTTTTTTCTAAATTGAGATGAGCCAGTATGTCTCTGAGGCAGGAGAGATTTTTATTGCATGTAAGGATGTGTAGTTTTCATTTCAGTATTATACACTTGTGGTTAACTGTCTTGAGAAAAGAATTATGACTTGTAGAGAGTCTCACAAGAAATTAGCTGTTATTAACATGTTAGCTATACTAATAGTTACACTGCTGTCTTTATCCAAGTGACTATAATTTGTATATACATTCAAACTGCTTTAGTGGTTATGCTCAACATTTACACGGAAACATAAGTTCAAGGCAATAGCTAAAACAATGGAGTTATTTCCAAAAATGTGAGTTATATATAGAGCTACGTTGTTAAAACTAGAAATTTATTTTTCTGCTTATTGAATATCTATAAAAAATTCAGCTTTTTTTACTGACAAGCAATCTTTCTCTACCAATAATACCTAAGAAAAATATCTTAAAAAAAACTTTTTTTAATGTGTATTTATTTTTTGAGAGAGAGAAAGAGAGACAGAACACAAGTGGGGGAGGGGCACAGAGAGAGGGAAACACAGAATCTGAAGCAGACTGCAGGCTCTGAGCTGTCACCACAAAGCCTGACGCAGGGCTTGAACTCAAGGACTGCAGGATCATGACCTAAGCCAAAGTCAGATGCTTAACCAAATGAGCCACCCAGGCACCTCACCTAAGAAGAATACCTAAATTTTGTATCAAATTATAGAAAAATTATATTAAATGCCCAATGGATTTAAATTAGAGCTATGACTCTCAGGCTATTTTACTTTATTTTTAAAGTCATATATTTTGACTTCTCTAGAATTATAATATATCTCTGAATAATATAGTCTTTATAATAAAATAACACAGGACACTGCTACTCAGGTACAAGACAATATAAAAGCTTAGAAATCACTTATTCAACTGAAGGAGCCTAGGGAATAATAAAAATTCAGATTACCTTGCTTCTCATTCTAAGTCATTCTACCAATGAGTAACAGAATTCATTTCATGTGAATTTAGAGTCACTTCAAAGTATACCAAAAAGACCATACTGTTGGAAGTTCAACAGAAGAGGACAGATATTTTGTCTGAATCCACATGGAAAATAAAATTATAGAAGCTATTCATATTACTCAGGCCAAAAAATATTCTCAGCCAAATCCTCACCACTATCATTATAATCATCATCACAATCAAGAAGAGCCCTTACTGAAGCAAGAACCAAACAGACATATTTAGCTTTGGAATTTGAAAAAAAAAAAAAAAAGACTTTTGCATGTTTTACTTTAGTAAATACTTCCCTTTTCTGTATATAAAATTCAGTTTCATTTAAAAGGGAAATTGTAAACCCAGCTTCATTTAAAATTCAAGCTATTGTCAAAATTTTAGGCTAAAATAAATCTTTAGGTAAAAAAAATTTCAACATTACACAAGAAAGCAGTCTTACAAGGTCTACAGCACATTTAATTATTCCATTGTTTTCCAAAGTGGACTCTGGTATAAAATTCTGCACAATGTTAACAGATTTTGATCAAAGAGAATTTGGAAAATGCTGTCAGGTCAGCTTACCATGAGATCTCAGCTCTTTGAATATCCAGATAAAAATTGTCAATCTCTGCATTAAATACGCAGGAATATATGTTGAAATACAGCCACAAACGAGATGGGAGGGCATCCCAGGCAGAGGGAAGATTAGGAGCCAAGATGAGCAGGTGGGAAAGCATAAGGCATCTTTGAGAAACTGTAGGGAAATTCTGGAGTTGCAGGAGATAAATCTGGAAATGGAAGCCAGAGCCAGACTGTGGACGTTTTGAATTGACAGGCTAAGTAGTTCAGACTCTTGAAAAAGTCAGTCATCACCCCCTGAACGTGGTCATTTAAGAAGATTAAATGGCCATAAATGGGTAACCTGGTTTGGAGCAGGGAAACTACTGGAGATGGGGAGTCCAGTTCGAAGGCCCAAGCAAAGAGTCAAAAGTGAGATTAAATACGAATGGTGAAAAGAGATTGCAGAACGAAGACCGAGAACAAGATCTACTGGAAAAGAATGAGAGGAATGAGACACAAGAGCTCCCCAGGATAGTAACGGTGACTTTAATGGCCATAGAGAATCTGTTGCAGTTTCTCTGTGGGTGGGTCATGCTCTGGAACTGCCGCATGTCTTGGTGTAGGTTTTCTATCATATAAGACCTAACATTCGCCAATACACAGTTAATTTCTAGTCATTCTTTAAGAATTCTACCTTAATTGTCATGTCTTCTTTCGTAAATCAGTTTTGTACACTTAGTATCTTGGGTATACAATTGCTAGTACACTTATGGTGTGTGGATGTGTCTGTCTCCCCAGTTGGGATGTCAGCTCCCAACTGAAGTTAGGGACCAAATGGGTCCATTTTTCACAACTAGCACAACAGTACATAACAGAAGCTCAACCCTTGTTTGGTGAAGGAGCATACCCAGGAACACTGATAAGCCTAAAGACACACAGAAATAGGGACACAGATAAAATAGAAGGCTGGAGGAAAGTTTGTTTTATCAACATGTTGGAAAGCCAATGGAAATAAGATTGAAGGAACTAATAAAAAGGGAAATTGATGAGACAGAATTCCAGAGTACAAGAGAGGCTGTGACAGGTAGAGCAGGTGTGGAGAAATCACCCTCTTAGGAGTCCAGTGCTTTCTACAGTTTGAAAACATGTCTCATGCCCTTCTATTTCCTCACCTTAGCTTCTTGTGTTTCCACTGTCAAGAATGCCATCCCATCTTCAGCCTCAAGTTCAACATCTACTTCTGCATGTTTAAAGCACAGATCAAATGTAGCTATCCCATGAGAACCTTCTCTGGTTACATATATATGTGTGTGTGTGTGTATATATATATATATATATATATATATATATATATATATATATACATACATATATATATGTATGTATATCATCTCAAGACCACCTACATAAAATCCACTGGGAGTGATGCTTATGGAAATTTCTCTTTATAGACATATTCCATGTAATTAATAATGAATGGATGATAGAATTAGAATCATCATTTTACAACTTGAAATGAAGTAATAGATTCAAGCAAATGATCATCGATGGTTACAAAAATCATTAGTGGAAAAAAGTGAGGTACTTAATGATGGATGGATCAAACAGCCATTATCTAAACCCATTTCTCAAACTTAAAGTCATAAAAATAGAGGCAATTAGATATCATATGCCTCTTTACAGAAGGGTACAATGTGCCTTGTATTTTTGCCAAGAAAAAAGTATGAACTTGAATTTGTTTAGATCTCTATATGTAACAATCAGTTTAAAAGAAATACAGAAGACAGAGGAAATGAGAAAAGACAGTATTGGATTACATTTAGCAAAATCCTGAATATGTCTAGTTTTTTCAGCAGATAAATTGCAAGAAGTAAACATAAGGAGGGAATGAAAAATCTATAGTTGAAATATATATTCAAAGAAACTTAAACACGTGTCAACCAAAAGTATGGATATGCATGTGTGTATGTTTAGAGAGAGCAAGCACATGCATGCACTAGTGGGGGAGGGGCAGAGGGAGAGGAAGACAGAATCCTAAGCAGGCTCCATGCCCAGCATGGGGCTCGATCACAATCATTGGACCCTGAGATCATGACCGGAGCTGAAATCAAGAGTCAGTTGCTTAGTGGACTGAGCCACCCAGGTGCCCCAATAATGGATATTTTGGACCCTGTTTGAAATTTTCCATTTTAATCATTTTAAAATGCAAGTTCCTGGGCCCCACTCGGAACTATTGAATTAGAATACCTGAAGGAGAGTCTGGGTATCTGCATTATCAAGTTCCAAAGTGATCATTATGCACACTAAGTTTTGGGAATCACAGTCCTAAAACAGTTTATTCCATGTCCTTGCTCTTGATTGAAAAATACAATAAATTATGGATACATGCCACACCTTTAAAAATAGAAACTGAACCTTGCATCTCTCAAGGACAAATATTTTCTATGCACTCAGTAAATACTAGGGATGTTAGTCAAAATATTTGTTGTTGTTTAGTCTGAATAAATATTTTAGGTCTAGATTATAGAAGAGTTCCCCACACATTCCAAGATATCAGATCCATTTGGCATCAGGAGTGTGCACCTTCTCACAGTTGTTGGCCACAGTCAATCCTCTGACCAAGTGGAATCTCTTTCTTAGTGGTATTTAACACTCCTAATTCTTAAATGGCCAAAATCTTCATACTTCATGCAACAAGGATAAAAGCTAACAGGATAAGAATAATAGCCTCCTCTTGCATAGAGAGATGGAAAGAGAGGATTATAGTAGCCTGCATAGAATATCTAAACTGATAATGTATATATATGGCCCTTTAGGGAAAAAATGAAATGTTTCTATATGAATTACCTCTCAACTTAGCCTCTCAGAGTTTTCGTTTATTTGTTTGCAATGGCCCATTTATTAAGTAACCACTTTGACTTTCCTAAGAGGGCATTCTTTGGAAAATGTAACCTTTTAATGAGAATTGTTTTCCTAAAGTCCTAGTTTTCGCTGAACCTCAGAAAGCTTGAAAGAACCCTATAACAGATTCTGTCCAGTGCTCTGCTTTTGCCACTATCTAGTTAGGTGATTTTGAATAGGTCACTCTTTTTACTGGGTTCTGGCTTCCCCGCATGTGTAATTCTAAAATAAATATCAGTCTGCTTTTAGATCTTCTTTAAATTCACCTACAGTTTTATGTGACTTCTAGGAAAAAAAAAATATTTCACCTAACATTTAAACAGAAAACAACCTTTCAAGAAAAAAAAATGGTTTCACCTCAGCATCTTAGATGACAATAAATAAGGCTAAATGCATACATTCTGTTGTGAAAGTACAAATCTAGGAATAAGAAAGATTTTTCCCACTTGGGCTTACCTGCTTATGAGCGTGATCGTAAGAATTAATATGATTGTCAAACTCCTGGTGCTTGTGATACTGCTTGTCACATAATTCACAGTAAAAGTTTGCCTTTACATCTTCCAGGGCCTTTGCTGTGGACTTCTCCTTTTCTGGAAAGTCCTTTAAAGGAGGAAAAAATGTTGGTTATATTTCTCTCTCATAGCATAACCAGATCTCACATTAACCAACTTGTTATTCAAATTTACTGTGACTGAAAGAATATGGTGAGGCTCATTATTTTTATTTATTTACTTTTTTATTTTGGAAATTCATGGCACTATGGAAATAACTTTCAACTCAGCCTCATTCCTAACTTATCAACAAACACAGAATGAATTCCCCCAAAGAAGCCCACAGTTGAAGCTTGGTCATTCTCTTTCTTGCCATCCATTTCCAAGTTGGTCTACTAACTCACCTAACTGAAAGACTCACCACAATTTCCTCTGCCAATCCAATGGCTGATCTCAAACACAAGCCTCCACTATGTCCTTGAAGCACCCATTACTACAAGGCCTCTCTACTATAATATTTTATTGGGACATTGATGACATTGTTTTATGTCATTCACTTACTGCTTCATGTGTTTTAGCCTCAATGAAACTGTCAGTGTTGGGACTTGCTATTCTTTTTTTTTTTCTTTTTTTTTAATTTTTTTTAACGTTTATTTATTTTTGAGACAGAGAGAGACAGAGCATGAACGGGGGAGGGGCAGAGAGAGAGGGAGACACAGAATCGGAAGCAGGCTCCAGGCTCTGAGCCATCAGCTCAGAGCCCGACGCGGGGCTCGAACTCACGGACCGCGAGATCACGACCTGAGCTGAAGTCGGACGCCCAACCGACTGAGCCACCCAGGCGCCCCGGGACTTGCTATTCTATGCACACAATGCCTATTCCCACCTTGTCAAGTTGATGAGCTCCTACTCCTTTCCCAACACCCAGCTCTTTGTCCCCTCTGGAGTGCTTTCCCATGGCTTTATCGGAAGGACAAAGTGCCCATTTCATTGCTTGTTACCAAACACATCCATGAACATTCATAAACACTTCTTCTTCTGATATTACCCCTTACATTTCTGTTTCACACAATTCCATCATCAGCCACTGATCTATCTACTCCATACAGTCTCCGTGGATGACCTCCATTCACACTATATCTAGGGTCATATTTATCTGCAGTCTCTAATTCCAGGCTAAGCTTCTTCCACAAACATCAGTTCATGCTGGACACGGCCAATGGGTTTTCCACATAGTTTTCAAAAACATTACTCTTATAATTTTGACTGTGCTTTATCACAGAGTTTTGGCCACATCACTCCCCTGCTTCAAATCCTCTTGAGCATAGAGAATACAGTCGGTGGTATTGTAACACCACTGCGTGGTGACAGATGATAGCTATACTGGCGGTGAGCATATACAGAAATGTTGAAACGTTATGTTGTACACCTAAAACTAACATAACGCTGGGGGTCAATTATACTTCAATTAAAAAAGAATAATAATCCTCTTGAATTCTCTGATTTCCTATAGAATAATAGTGATGAATACTTACTGAGCATAAGCTATGTGCCACGTAGTAAGCTAAGTATGTGGTGAATTATCTCACTTATTCCTCACACCAACCCTATAAAAATAAGTTCTCTTTTAATCTACACTTTACAGATGTATCAATCAGCACTTAGAATGACACACTCATGGCCACTGAGTAAGTGGAGGGGGGATTTGAATTCAAATAATGTATGCCTAGCTCCCTTGTTAATAAACAAGATGCTTTGCTATCTCCCTTGAGGCCAGTCCTCTTAATGTACCATACAAGCTCCTCCCTACCTCATCAGCGTCATATTGCATGAACCTATGCTCCCATATTACCCCCTTTAATTCTATAATCAGACAAAGTCACATAATACTAGATTATCTTTTTTCATGTCTATGCCCATACATCCTCTGAGGGCAGGAACTGTTTTATTCAACTTTGTGTCCACAATGCCAAACATATTGTCTAGTCCAGAGTTACCTATTTAGTATACATTACATAAGTTAATGGATAATAGTAGCCTACATATTCACACCTTCTGCCATTCTGCAAGTCCTCTATTATCCCAGTGCCTAAAGAAAAGAGTGACTGGCACATAGAGGGTACCAAATAAATACGTATAAAGAATGAAGAGACAGGGGGTGCTGAGTGGCTCAGTCAGTGAAGCGTCTGCCTTCAGCTCAGGTCCTGATCTCAAGGTTTGTGAGTTTGAGCCCCACATTGGGCTCTCTGCTGCCAGTGCAGAGCTTGATTCAGATTCTCTGTCCCTGTCTCTCTGCCCTTGCTCCACTCGCACACACACACTCTCTCTCCCTTAAAAATAAATTAATAAACTTTATAAAAAGGATGAAGAGACAAAATAAAGAATGGACTTTAGTTCTGTTTCTCTAATGTGACTAACACTCTATAGAAAGAAATCAGGCCATTAACCTGAATCACAGGACCATTGCTGACCAGATAAGAAAGCAAGCACAGGGAATGTAGGCAGATCATCACAGGGTTGGGCAACGTGATGGAGCAATGAATTTAGACATGGGAGCATAATGATTCAAGCCCAAATATAAGAGGCTAACACAACATGGCACAAAAAGCAAGCAGGATGGGAGTACCATTAGCAAACAACAAAACTAAACCAAATATCTGGACTGTCTATGTAAGAGAGTTAAAGTAGCAATTTTGTTACATTCTAGGCTAATGGGGGATATAAAAACTACTGACAGGATGTATCCAGTAATGAGAACACGGACTTCAATTTCAGGACAAAAACCCAGTTGCTCAAAAAATTGAAATAATGGCTTGTTAACGTAGTCACTTGAGAACTGAGGCAGAGGTGTAACACCGAGGTAGAGCTCATTCTTTTGAACTAGTAGCCTTACAGTTAGAGGCAACCATTATTTCTCATCCCATCTTTCTCCAGGGATCATTTTACATGTCCTTTACATGCCCTGTCTAATTTCAAAGACTGGGACTAGAGACTACTTAGGTTTACCCACAGTTTTTCTTACATGATCACGACACTAGAATAACAACCTTAGAAAAGTGACCATGTGCCTTGGACACGGAAAACCTCTGCTTCAGTGATCAGAAGTGCCTCAGCTTCATTAACTGGAAGTGGGTGGTAACTGAGAATTCAAGGGAGCTAAAAATAACCTCTCATGTTATTCCCGATTATGTGGGGGATTTTTTTTAATGTTTATTTATTTTTGAGAGACAGAGCAAGACTGAGCATGAGCAGGGGAGAGGCAGAGAGAGAGAGAGAGAGAGAGAGAGAGAGAGAGAGGGAGACACAGGATCTGCAGCAGGCTCCAGGCTGTCAGCACAGAGCCCCACGCAGGGCTCAAACCATGAACCCTGAGATCATGTGACCTGAGCCAAAGGCAGACGCTTAACCCACTGAGCCACCCAGACACCCATATATGGAGGATTTTTGTAACAACAGCTCAATGACTAGGGGTGAGGCTTCCGCAATTACTCTTGGTATCTTCATCTACACAGCATTTATTACTAAAAAATCCTTTAATTATGACATTAAGTGAATTTCATTGCAAAATTTATAATTATAAGAGAGTTACCAACATTTTAGCCATCTCCTGTGAATGTCCACATTTCACCTTTATCAGACTAAACTGCATACCCCATTTCTTAATTCATTTTTCTTGCCGGGAAATGGTGCTGCTATCCCCATCTTCCTTCCTTCTAAGGAATTAATGATATTCCCCAGGGCATATTCTAGTTCCCTTATTAAGAGAGGAGGAATACATATGTGGGAAATAACTGCCATTAGCATAGCACACAGAGGTCACAATCTAGGGTGTCTATCAAACCCAGAAGTAAGAGCATAAACTTAACAGCAGGTAATTGGGGGTCAGAAGTGGGGAAACTGAGACCTGAGAATGAAAGTCTCAGGCAGAAGAGAATATAAGCCAAGAGTTGGATAGGGCAAGAGGAATCACAGAGGAAAAGAAAAAAAAATAATAAGGTTTGTTAAGCATCTTTGGCAAAATTGGAAACTGTGGTTGGCACTAGAGCTACTGTTAGTAAAAGAACCATAACCCAGTGGCCCGTGTATGAGGTGGGTCTGTTCTCTAGTGTGAAGTTGAACTGTCCATGGAGAAGGAGCTGAGGTGGTCTAGCTGTATGTACCAGAAGACTGGAGGGCAAGGGCTTAGACTAGCAGACTAGTAAGGAAGGTATCATGTAGTGTAAATCTACCAGCTGAAAGAGGCCACTGATGTTCAGTAACTTCATGAGCTCTAGAGAATCAGGCAATGGTAAAGCAGGGAACATTATCCACCGTGTCATGCTTCTTCACCCATCCAGTCATTCATTCTTCCCTCTAACCACACACTCATCCGACTAACCACTAAGTAGTTATACATTCAAGAATTGTTAAAAAATAGAATTACCCTCTGATCCATTAATCACACTAGCTGGTATTTACCCCCAAAATACAGAAGTACTGAGTCAAAAGGATACAGGCATTATTGCATATTTACACTGAATGCCATGTTTATTGCAGCATTATTTACAATAGCTAAATTATATAAGCAGCCCAAGTGTCCATGAACAGATGAATGGATAAAGAAGATTCATACATACATATATACACATATGCATACATACATTCACACACACACACACACACACATGTATATATATATAATGGAATATTATTCAGTCATAAAAAAGAATGACATGTTGCCATTTGCAACGATGTGGATGGAACTAAAGAGTATAATGCTAGGTGAAGTAAGTCAGTCAGAGAAAGACAAATACCATAAGATTTCACTCATGTGGTATTTAAGAAACAAAACAAATGAACAAAGGAAAAGGAGACAAACCAAGAAATAGACTCTTGACTATAGAGAATAAACAAAAGGTTACCAGACGGGAGGTTGGTGGAGAGATGGGTGAAATAGGTGAAAGGGATTAAAGAGTATTCATCACGATGAGCACTAATGTAGAGAATTGTCAGATCACTGTATTGTACACCTGAAACTAATACAACACTGTATGTTAACTATACTGGAAATAAAATTAAAAACATATAATTCTATCATTGACTTGCTAGTTATTCAAAGTTCTATTTCAC